GAAGAATTAATATTGTGAAAATGACCATCCTACCAAGAGTTGTATATAGATTCAATGCAATGCCAATCAAAATCCCCATGACATTTTTCACAGAATTGGAAAAAACTATCCTAAGATTCATATGGAAGCACAAGAGACCCTGGATAGCCAAAACAACCTTGAGAACTAAGAGCAATGCTGGGGGGATTACTATACCAAAAAATTTCATTTTAAATTATGTATATTATGTGTTTGTGTATAAGCGTGGGTGCCCATATAGGCCAGAAAACGGCATCAGATTCTCTGGAGCTGGAGTTATGAGCTGCCCAGTGTGGATGCTGGAAATTGGACTCCAGTCTTCTGGACAGGCAGCGAATGCTTTTACCTACGGAGCCACTTTTGCAGCCCACTGAGCTAGCAGCTCTTAACTGTTCTGAGGAGAGTAAACATGGCAGTTATCCCTCACTGCATCCTGTCTTCCTCATCTTTGTTGAGAACTCAGTTTCCGGTCTTAGTTCTTAGTTCTTCTTTGAAAGCAATCATCTCTTTTCTTTCCATTCTGCCTGTCTGTCTGTCTGTCTGTCTGTCTATCTGTCTATCTTCCAGATTTACCAGGCCCAGCTTGGAGTGGTTCACTCCTGCCTGCCACTCTGGCCCCAGGGTTGCACCCCCAGAATGGGTGGGAGGGCTGAACTCAGGTGCAAGGCTGTCTAGAGGGGTACCAGTGCCCCCCCTCTCATGGCCATCAACTCAACCTCATGCTCTCTCGGCCCAGGCACTGCAGGAGTTGAAGATGGCCACCTCTGTTACATCCTATGAGCAGCTGGTACGGCAGGTGGAGGCATTGAAGGCGGAGAATAGTTACTTGAGGCAGGAGTTACAGGATAACTCCAGCCACCTGTTCAAGCTGGAGACTGAAACCTCAGGCATGAAGGTAGAGATTCTTTCTTTCTTTCTTTCTTTCTTTCTTTCTTTCTTTCTTTCTTTCTTTCTTTCTTTCTTTCTTTCTTTCTTTCTTTCTTTCTTTCTTTCTTTCTTTCTTTCTTTCTTTCTTTCTTTCTTTCTTTCTTTCTTTCTTTCTTTCTTTCTTTCTTTCTTTCTTTCTTTCTTTCTTTCTTTCTTTCTTTCTTTCTTTCTTTCTTTCTTTCTTTCTTTCTTTCTTTCTTTCTTTCTTTCTTTCTTTCTTTCTTTCTTTCTTTCTTTCTTTCTTTCTTTCTTTCTTTCTTTCTTTCTTTCTTTCTTTCTTTCTTTCTTTCTTCTTTTTCTTTCTTTTGAGTTAGCACCTTACTATGTAGCCCTGCTGGTCTGAAACTCACAGAGATTTGCCTGTCTATATCTCCTAAGTACTGGGATTAAAGGTGTGTACCACCATGCCTAACCTCAGGTGCCATTTTTATTCCAGTGGTGGATGCGGTGAAGTCTTCTTTCTTTCTTTCTTTCTTTCTTTCTTTCTTTCTTCTTTTTCTTTCTTTTGAGTTAGCACCTTACTATGTAGCCCTGCTGGTCTGAAACTCACAGAGATTTGCCTGTCTATATCTCCTAAGTACTGGGATTAAAGGTGTGTACCACCATGCCTAACCTCAGGTGCCATTTTTATTCCAGTGGTGGATGCGGTGAAGTCTCAGGGTTATCTGCATGCAGGTAGCTCACCAGTGCCTGGTACCCAGTTTTCCTCTTTGCCATTTCCTGCACAGGATCCCAATTCCTCTTGTCCCACCACATCTCTCCCTAGCTCTCCTCACAAAGAAGGGTCCATCACTGTTTTCATCCAACTGATTTTCTCTTGTGATTATGTAAACAAAGACTTGAGGTTTTAGAGAAAGTTAGGAACTTTTTATCTATAAAATATCACAAATACTTTGAATAACCATTATTTGATTGTTTCTGCAGACCAGACCACCCTTTCTATAACTGAGACATAAACTCACAGAGAGGCAACTTAAGAGATTGTCTGTCTCTGCGCATGGAATCAGTAGCAGCTTCCTGTCCTCACTCCCCACACTCTTGCTGTTCAACTTTTCCTCTGCAAGGAAAATATATCTGATGTTTAACTTTCCTCATTTACTACTTTTAAGAATTCTTCTAGACCCTAACATCAATCCAATGGCTGCTAATAATGCCTTACAAGTACATGGCATACTTTTTTTCTTTTTCTAAAGAAAGTAATTTTTTTTTACCTTGAATAGAATTGCAAAAAGAAGGAACTTAGTCATTTCTGTAATTACTTATTTACCTTATAACAGTATTTATAATTGCTCTAATCAAATCAGGCCATTCGGATGCTCATCTGCTTAAAAATTTTAACAAGCTTCACTCAAAGCTATATTTGCTATGGAATTTAATCTAGAGCATTTTAATTCTTGTATCACTTCCAAATCATCTACTGATCATTTTGGTCAGTATCAAAATTAGAAAAACTTTAGACTGAAGGCTTATGACACTTTTTCTTGGTCCGTTCACAGCTTTGCAACCCCAGCTCCAACACTGCTGAGATGGCTTGAAATATATTGCTAACACAGATGTGACCTTGTGTTTCTTGATATTGCCCCTTTAACCCCTTTTCACATTCCACTCATACCATAACAATGCTCAGAACAGGAAGATATTAGTAGGGAACAGTAGTTTTATAGCATTTGTTTTGTTTCTCACAATGCAATTATTAAGAGACTTCTGACTTAAAAAGCACTACACAATACTAAAATTTGTATGGATGTGCGCGCGCGCGCGCACACACACACACACACACACACACACACACAAAATAAATAAAAAAGTTTTTAAAAATTGAAGAGGCCTGAAGAGATAGCCTAATCAGCAAAGTGTGTAACATACAAGTGGGAGAACTTGACTCTCACCTCTAGCACCTGTGTGAAGCTGTGTGTAGCAGCTTTCATAATCTTTTGGCTGAGGAAGTAGAGACAGGAGGCTCCCTGGGCATCTAGCCTAGCCTAATTGGCCAGCTCCAGGCCCAATGAGAGCCTTTGTATCAAAAATCAGGGTGGGCTTTTCCCTAAGAAGTTGACCTCTGGCCTCCACATGTATGCACAAACAAATGCAAGAATACTTGTACACACATGTGTATGGTCACACATGTGAACACACACACATACATAGTTAAATGCCTAAATATAAGCCCTCAAACTATGAAATAACCTGAAGGAAACATGGAAGCTGCTTCAGGATGCTGGAGTGGGCAAGGCCTTTTGGATGAGACTTCAGAGCATAGGAAACCGAAACAAAGAAAGCCAATGGGATTTCCTCCAGCTCAGAAGCTTCTGTACAGGTGAGGGAGCAACCAACAAAATGAAGAGACAAATTACAGACTGGGTGAAAATATTTACAAACTATTTATTTGGCAATGTGGCTAATTTCCAGAATATAATAAGGGGTTCAGCATTTAAATAGCAAAGAAAGAAATGCGAAACAGCCCAATTAGAAATGTCTCTGAAAGACACAAAAATGGCCAATGTGTATATGCAAAAACTTCTCACCATTGCTAACCATTAGGGAAGTAAAAATCCAAACCTTGTAAGATGTCATCTTATTCTAACTGAATTGCTATTATTAAGAAGACAAGAGATAAAAACGCTGACAAGAATGTACAGCAAAGAAGACTGACCCTTGAGAACTGCTGGGAGTCTAAATCAGCATAGTTATTATGGGTAACAGGAAACCGGCTCCTCAAAATATTTAAAATAATACTAACACATGATCCAGCAATCTCACTCCTGGGTACATACTCAAAAGAAATGAAACCAGTATGTTAAAAAGACATCCCCATTCCCATTTTGATTTCAGGACTATTCATAATAGTCAAGACATAGAACCTGGGTGTGGTGGTACATACCTGTAATCTCCGTACAGACGAGAAAAAGGCAGGAGTTCTTGTGAGTTCCTGGTCAGCCTTAATGACATAACAACAACCTGTCTCAACACAACAACAAAATATCAACAACTAAACACCTAAATGTCAATGAACTGATAAATGAAATACTGCTTGGCCGTAAGAATAGATTTCTTCTATTGCAACAGTGTATGAAACTGGGGGTTATTATGACAAGTGAAATAGGCTGGGCTTGGAGAGACAGATGCTTCAGGTTGAATCTAAAGGTGCTGATTTCAGAGCAGGTGAAGGTAGAATAGAGAATAATAGAGAATAATGGAGATGAGGCATAAGGAGCAGGAAGAGGTGAGGGAAGGTTGGTCAGTAGAGAGCAAGTTACAATTACAAGCTCTGTTGTATTGTATAACTGGGTAACTAGAAGTTCTCCAAATTCTGTTACTTTGGGCCTTGAAGAAAGCTTCATTTCATAAGCATTATTGGTCAACTTATTGGCCACCACTGATCAATTTCATCTTCAGTCCTCTTTACCTCCTCAAAGTTGGGGATGGGGCTGACGGTCCTAGCCCGGTCATCATTCCCTGTTCTTTCCTTTGTTGAATCTTCATTCTAAAGCTAACTGGAGGCTGTCAGCCTTAGGTCAATGCATCAACACACAAAAGCATGGCATTTCTCTGAAGAATTCATGGTCTTTAGGATCTATTTTCACACTCTCAATAATCCTTTATGAACAAGCCTTCCTTCCATTACTGGATGCAGTCAAATTCACTCCCAGAGTACAGTGTCTACGCTTGCACAAGGCCCTTGAAATCTTCTTATGGTTGACACGCATCTGGTTCAGGCCTTTATCATGAGAGTCATGTTATTCTATTCAGTCTTCAGTGGGTCCCCTGATCAGTTCCAATATCATCCTTCGTATTTCTCTAGCTGATTTTATTATTTGTATACACAACCTATTTTGTTTGCTGCTTACTTTTTATTGCATGTCTGGTAGCCCAAGGTGGCCCTGGCCAGTGTTGTGCCTCTAGCACTCATGGAAAAGCGGTTCCCACACAAGATGACCAGTAAACATTCATACGAGTAAACTAATTGAAGCTCTGCATTTGTATGAACGAGACTTAAACATAGTGGTCGAATTATATTTATGATGTCAATTGTAACACAGGCATAGGATGAAACAAGTGAAAACGATGTTTCCAGAGTCATCTAAGGCGGGATTTAAGATGAAAACATTTTATTAGTTTTATTTTTTTAAGATTTGAGATCTCAAACTTTCTACTCTCAATAGAGATTTTAAATTAACTCCCACTTCCCTAGTCCCTGCCATTATTAGCACTAAAGAGCATTAGGTGGAGAATCAGTGGTCTTAATTCGGTTTGCAGTAAATCCCAACAATTAACCATTCGATGAAATGGCGAATCTATGTGTAGTCACTGCTCTTACCAATAATACATTTCACTTTTAATCTTCTCAGAAAATGGAGTCAGCTCTGTCCTTGCTCTGAGGGGTCATCCAGAGACTGGATTATAAAGGGCCAGCTCCTGCTATGAATAACCACAACAGTTGGGCGTATCCTACTTCTCTGTGGCAGGGCAGGCAATCAAGTGGCTCCCATTACATCTCTCATATGCAGGTGATGAAAAATGAACAGAAATAAACATATTTCCGCCAGAGCACAAAGTTCCAAATTTTTCACTGAGCAGTTTGCTTAAGGGGCTGAGTCATAAAGCTCTTAAAGTTCTCTTGATCATTTTCCCGCATGGTAACAGATGAGAGAAAGACAAGGAGCTCTAGATCAAAACGCAGGAGCAAATAACTCTAATGAAAAGAACAGCAGGCATGGAAAATGACTGGAACAAGTGTTTGAAGTCCTCCTGCATGTCCAGATCTGGAGAGAAAATAGAAGAGGGCAGATGTTACTTCCCTGCAAGGATTAGGCTTATATCCTAGAGTGGCGAACACCCATTCTTGAAACTTAACAAAAGTAACTTGCTAAATGGCTAGCATGCCCCAAATAATTATCAATAATTTCGTGCCTTTTCTGTTCACCCATTCCAGAGTCTCTTACAGAATCTGTGTTTTTCTACAGGGATCTTCTGAGACAAGAATCGCTTTCAGATTGTGTCTGTCTCCCACAGGTGACTGTTTCTGCACAGTGCCCTGACTGTGCGCATGCCTGCTTGTCTTCTCCTAAGCTGGTAAGTCTTCCCTGGGAGGAGGGAGCAGTGGCCTGCTCCTCTCTCACCTACCTGTCATCCACACTTCATCCTCAGCTTTTGCATTCATGAAATCATACAATTTGCTCTATGGATGATGCAATTGTACCTGTAAGTTTTAGTCAATTTTCATACTTAAAGTACCACAACAAATGATCAACTGTGTATTAGGTAGAATTTCAAAAATATCAAATCGATTTTTTCCAATTAATAAATTTTTGCCATCTGTTAATTAAAAAGGAAGATAATGCATTAAAATATAGCCACAGTTCCTGTCCTTCAATACTGTAGCCTGTCATAAACTTTATCATTAACTACATTTCTTTTTTTTAAATTTATTCTTTTAATTTTATGTGTATGAGTGCATACATGTGAGTGCACCCGTGTAGTGCAATGCTGAGGAGGGTGGAAGAGGGCTTCAGATTCTCCTGGAACTGGATTTAAGGATGGTTCGTAGCCACCATATGGATGGTGGGAATCGAACCTAGGCCCTCTGCAAGAGCAGTCAGTGCTCTTAACTGCTGAGACATCTACACAGCCCCATCATTCACTACATTTGTATAAAAATGTTATGTTTTCTTAGACTAATGCTCATCCCAAAGTTACTTTTTCTGATGTAGAAATTATACCATATTCATCAATGACCTACAAATTCTGTGACAATGCTTTGAAAAAAATATATATATGTGTGTGTGCATGTGTATATAATGGTTATGTTGGCTTTAAAAATAGTATTTACCCTTAATATCCTCATAAACATAATTTCCATTATTCCTTTGATGTTGTCACATTGATTAGTTTCATCTCAAAATGCATATGCAGACAAATTTTAAGGAAAATTTCTGACAAAAGTTTAAGGAAAATACTTGAGCGAAACCTATTAGAGCCTTTTAGTTACATTCACTGTTATGTGTGTTTTAAATTAGAATCAATGACCAACATTTAATTTTAGCAGAGAATACTTCAGCCAAATTTGTGAAGTATTAACTTCCCAAGAAACAAAAATGTAAATCCAATTACTTACAAATATTATGAAAGCCATTACAGTAATATGCAATGTTAACTTAAAGTTCAGTTTCTATAAATAACCGTCATTGAACATTGATTATTAAATGTTTACAGGCCTTTACAATGCAGTGACAATATTTAAGTGTAGAATTATAAAAGTATAATGATTTTAAGCAATTTTGATGAATTTACATATTGATATCTTTAATACTGAATAGTCTAGTCCAATTGCTTAATTAGGATTTATATTTTTTAATCAATTTTGATGAGACAGTTCACTGGGTTTTCTAAAAGATTTTCATATTCCACAAGTGGAGTAACATGGGGCAGACTTTTCCTGGGTTTGTAAGTGAACAAGAAGTCAACAACAATATTTGTATGTTACAGAGCAGGCAAAGCAGAGCTCTGGTGTTTTTTGTGGAGAGAAACAAGTGAATGGCACTAGAATTTAAAAATCTCTCTGGTGTTTTGAAGGAGAAACATACTCATTTATGGAACAGCAGCAGGATCCCACCTCTGGGTTCAGTAGGAGACCCTGACTTAAAGAAATAGGTAGAAAGTGGTAGAGCTGGGCTCCTGAAGTCTTCTCCTGGCCTCCACACAGGCTGGTGTGTACACAACAGCACACACATATATGAGTATACACCACATTCATACAACATACACACATAGACACACAGAAAAAAAGAAAAAGAGAGATTTCATGACTAACAGGCTTGATCTATACCACATGTTGAATGCAGATCATCAAAATGAAGTTATCAAATGTGAATCTGTAAAAGAGAATCATGTAAGGGATGGTTCAGTTACTAAAAGCACTTACCATTCTTGCAGAGAACCCATGTTCAGTTCCTAGCACCAACATGATGGTTCACAACTGCCTGTAATGCCATTTCCACGGGATCTGGGGCTTCTGTACACACGTGGTACACATAAACACCTACAGGCACACATACATAATAAATACAGAATATATATATATAAATAGTCTTAAAAATCATGTAGCATCAGAAATCATAACTTTATTTTTTTCTCAGATTTTAGAATGAAAACTAATTGACTGCTTAAACCCAGATCGGTAACAACACATTGTAAGGTTTAAAAAAATTGGTAGAAGTAGATCTATGACCAAAATGGCACAAAGACAATGGGATAAGAAAATTAAAATACATGCCCTCTAAATCTACTTACAAAAGTAGATGAAAGATAAATATACTGAATAGATTGTACCATGGGAAACATAAAATAATTGAGAAGCTGTAACATAGATTAAAATATATTCCAGAACAAAGACTATTAGGATTATGGAACAGATTTCAAAATGAAAAGGGAGATAATTCATAAAAATCAACAATTTTAAATGTGTATGTGCCTAATATGCTTTTAAAATACAGAAAACAAATCTTCATAGTTGTTAAAGAAACTCAGTTAACTAACAATTAAAATTGGTTATCTCAGTTAATTAACAATTAAAATTGGTTATCGTGTTTCATTTTTTTGAGACAAGATCTCACTACAGTCCAAGTTGCCATGAAATTCCCCAAGATCACCTGGTGGTGAACACACAGTGCTTCTGCCATAGTCTTCTAAGTGTTGGAATTAGAAGGGAGCATCACCAATCCTGCACTTATAGTTGAGTATTTTAACACTCTTTTATCCATATATATTAGTCACTTTTCTGTTGCTGTGATAGAAACACCAATCAAAGCAACTTATAGAAGGAAGAGTTTATTTGAGCTTATGGTTCCAGGGGAATTACAGTCTGTCATGGTGGGAAGCATGATGGCTGCAGGTGTCTGGAGCAGGAACAGCAGAAGCTAAGCTCTCACATCATCAAGCAGGCACAGGAAGCATGAGAGCTACTGAAGATCTGGAAAGGCTTAAGAACTCTCTAAGCCCACCCCCAGTGACATGCTTCCTCCAGGATGGCCACCCCTTCTAAGACCTCCCAAACCAGTGCCACCAACAGGGGAAAAAGTGCTCAAATACTTGGAGCCTATGGGGAACATTCTCATTCAAACCACCACACTGTATTTGATATAAATGATAAAATACAGGAAAGTTAGGAAAGACTTAAATCACGCTACCAGGAAACTCCATCTAGTTGATATTTACAAAACACTCCAATAACAACAGAAAATAAACATATAAACACTCACAGGTAGACCATATTTTGAGCCATAAAGTTAGTCTAAACTAATTAAAAATATGAAGCAAAGATATGTATTGTGACCACAGCACAATTAATGGAAATTGATAACATGTATGTGCAAAATTCCCAACTATTAGCAAACTAAAGAAATTTCTAAATAACCCAATATCAAAGATGAAATTCTAGGAGAATTCAGAAATTTTCAACTAACCAAAAAATGAAACAAAATATTATGTGTATTGCTGCTAAATAAATGTTTGGTGTAAAATTTATAGCTCTAAAAACATATCAGAGAAAAAATTCTACAAAAAAAATAGGATTCAACCTTAAGAGTCTAGAAAAGAATCACATTGAACCCACAAAAAGTAAATGGAAAGGATTATTAATGGCAAAACAGAAGCCATTGGACTAGAAAGCAGGAAGTAAAGGAAATTAGTGAGCCCCCATTGAAGAGACACTTGTGCATCCATGTTTGTTTCTGCTCTTTTCACAATAGCTAGGAGATGGAAGCAACCTAGGTGGCCCTCAGCTGACAAGTGAATACTGAAAATGTGGTTCATTTATACGATGGAGTTCTACTCAGAATAAAGAAAGATGAAATCCTGAAATTTTCAGTAAATGGATGGAACTAAGTGAAGTAACACAGACTCAGAAAACAAACAACATATGTTCTCTCTCAGATGTGGATCCTAGCACCAAATCCTGACAAGTGAGTATGTATCCAGATATAACTACAGGAACCAGAATAATAAAAAGGAACCAGGGAGGTAAAGTGAAAGAACGAACCTGAGAGAAAAGAACAGTAGGAAACAGGTGTTACTAGGGGAGAAATAGATAAAAATGGGGTCATTTAAATGGGAGGGGCAAGGGAAGGTTATACAAGGAAGCTTGGGGATCAAGTGAAAGAAGGAGCTCGAGAAGTGGGACCATAGGAGATCAGTATTATCAAGGAAGAAATGCAGAAAATGGAAAATGGTCACACTTAAAATGGGGAAGACATGGCAGAAGGGGTAGACAGTGAGAGGGAGAGGAGAGATTAAACAATGTCTAGCGAGTTTAAAAAACCCAGAGGGAACCATATCAGTCAAACAACCTACTGACAAATCACACATACAATATCTCTACATGAGTCTGTGTGTATAGCTAAAGGCTACATAACAAACAGTGCCAAACAACTGATACCTTCCTTTGAGTTGTTGGTCAGGGTGTTCCAAGAGAGTCCCAAAATTACTCAGGCTATTTCCACAGCCTTTGATGGCCTCCCAGAACTTGAAGGTAAGACCCTACTGCCAAAACAGATCATACTCCAGACACGTGATTTGGAGCGCTAGAGCTGCAATTGACCTGAAGTCACTTCCCCTGAAAGCTAACTCTTCAGAGAGTGCTACTAAAGTGCCAGTAGGAAACATCAATGGATGGTCTAACACCAGCTTCAAGACCAAATAACCACATCAGTGGCCAGCAGAGCATACATCATTGGTGCAGTAGTGGCACTTTTATATTGGGGGTGATCAACAGCTACTTAATTGGACTAAATGCCCACTCAGTGGGAGGAGACTCAAGTATGGTACTGTAAACACAGCCAAATACACATGGCTGGAGTGATCATAGATCTTAGAGAAAGCCCCAAGACTCACATCCCTAGACTAATGTGATTTCTTACTATATGCAAAATATGTATCCTTATATTTACAAACAACTGTCCCAGTCACCACTCATCAAAAAACTCATTTTGCACCAATCAGAGGCTATTATCAAGCACCAAAACTGATCATACACAGATATTGTCTATGAATTGCCCAGGCCTAAGTGACACATCTACAATGCAGCCTGTACACCTAAGGCTCATGGAACATAGAACAGGGGTAATGAAGAGGACACTAATGAATCTCTCAGTTCTCAATAATATTTCCTCATGCAGTGGAGGCCCAGGAACACAAAAGTTCACAAATGGCCAAATCATAGAGATCAAGAGTCTGCTGAATGCTGGTCCTTGGACAGGATTCCTTTATTAAACTTCCCCCACCCAAGGCTCAGGGATTATCAGGGAGAATGGGGCGTAAAGATTGTAGGAGCCAGGGAGGAGGTACATGACCATATGGGAACAGAGTCCTATAAGCTCCTGGGACCCTGCTCATATGATTCTATGGCAATGGTGTCAGCATGCAAACTCAAGCAGAAAAACCCAGCATAGAACTAGGAAAATGAACAGCAGACCCCAATCTTATCTGAAGAAATAGTGGCAACTGATTGCTGCTAGATGAAGAAGGGCTGATCCTTAAAACAAGGGACTCTAGATCGGCTGACTAGACCTCAGTGGATGGACTTGCACTGGGGAATGGCTGGGGCCACTGACAACACAGTGGGCCTTAACAGGGATGACTGAGTATATGGACCCCAGTGGGGGGGTGCTATGTATGGGTGCCAGTGTGTACAGGGGTATAAAGATGATTAAGATTGTTTGAGATGTTCTGTATGAAATACACAAAAAGTCAATAAAAGGAAATTAAAAAAGAAAAGACAATTAGTGAGTCCAAAGGTTGCTTTTGCATCAATTTAAGGTGACGGCCTGAAGTACAACTGTAGTGAAATATTAGATCGTTTGGAATAAGCTATTGATTAGCAAAGAAAAGAGACACGTGTCTTTTTCTGCCTTTGGTTTCCCAAGGAGCATTGCTACCTGTTGGAATACTGTGAAAATAGATGAAGCTCATTCATGTAAATATCATCTCCAGGTAATTTTTGTACATCCCTCTTAAAAGAAGCTTCAAAACATCACTTACAGGACTGCAAATCAAAGGCTTCAAACATTGGTGGTCATGAAATAGCATTCTGTCAAATAGATGGTAGCTAGTTATCAATCTAAGCTTAGAGGTTAGACTGACTAAACTTTAAAGTCTGACTGGACGGCCCATATATTAACACCTCTACCTTTACAATTTGAGAACGTCACATATTTGTAAATCGCCAAGTAGACCGATATATGACGTAAAGATCTGAGTATTTAGAGAACACAGGTACATGAAGCTTCAGGCACAAAACAGAAATGAGCTCCATAGAACAGACAAGGTCTGTCCAACGGAAGGTTTCCACCCAGGTTCCCATGCATGCTCACTGTGCCAGTGACTGAGGTGCCCTGCCAGCAGGAAGTGCTCAGTTCTGATTGGTTGGTATTTCAGTTTGAAAGTAAGGTTACAGCTCTGGTCAGTTTTGGGCAGCAAAATGTTACAGCTTGGGAGTCTGTTTATCTTGGCAACTGACATCAGAACTGCCTGGTCAAGGTCCATAAGAATCAGTTTGTCCTTCTGAAAACATTTCAAAGTAATGTGATAGGCCTCCAAATTTTCAAATAATGCATAGTAATCACTCTAGTAGAATATACAATTAGGTAGAAGAGGATACCAAATTAGAAGTACACTTTGAAGGATAAAGCTATATAAAAGTTACATAGTTATGACTAGATTTTGATGCTAGCTACAAACTAAAAGTTTCATGCATCATCATCACTATTATTATAAGTATTATTATGCTTTAAAGCAGGGTGTGAAGGTCACTAACACTCATGAAGCTGAGGCCGGAGGATCAGAAGTTCCAGTTCAACTCAATTATATTGCAAGTTCCAGGCCAGCTTGGACCACTTCAAACCCTGTGTTATACTAACCAAAAATAATAAAAGAAAAAAAAAACCTTTGAATTATATGGCTTAAGCATGTATTTAATATATGGACCAATTTCTTTCCATTTTCTTTAAGAAGTCCTTCACTGTTTCCTAAGAACTCTTCTTTGTG